AGCCTCCAATCCGGATCCTTTCATTGTCTCTTAGATCCGTTCCTTATCTTTCTGGTTGACCAATTTCATTCGGGTCCTGTCCGTTTGTGCATTTCACTCCAGGCGCTATTTCTCAAGGGCCTAGAAGCACATACATTGCCGCTTCACTGAGCGGAGCGCCTAAGCTCTGAGTCTCATGCAGATACTTTTGAGAATGTATCAAGTCCATTGTCAGATGCTGGGAATCATGACAACTACTATGGCAGACGACTTCGGACTAGGTGCGTTACATAGTCGCCCTGACAACAAGACCAAGTTGCGACAACGAGGTTAACCCACTCCCATATTATTTGTGTTGAGAGTCCTCGTGACAACAAGACCAAGTTGCGACGAAGTCAACCCACTTCTATAAATCGCAAGGAGACTGCGACCATACCAGAGGCCACAATATCTTGGTCTTCATAGCTTCAATTAAACTACGTTAGTAAAATTCCCAAACAAGTCACTGAATACAGCTGGACAAAGAAGACAATTGTAAGTCAATCTTCTCATCTTATTTTTTTAAACTGTTGTAAACGTCATGGTATCACTTTTAAGTTATGTGACCTTAAGAGACCCTACCACTCGCAAAAGGTCAATGAGTAGCTCCACCAGGCTTTTATTCAGAAATTAAGTGAGGCTTATGATACTGAACCTTATAAGTTGTTTAAGTTTATAGATATTAAGTCAGAGCCCCGGCGTGATTTGGCCAGGATCCTGCTAAACAGTTGTGGTTTCTCTCCTCCTGTCCTGGGCTTTTCACCTTTTCTATATTCTCGTAGCACGCTTTCACTATCACACTTTTTTTACTTGCTTATTTAAATCTAATGTGGTGTGCCTTTTTGAGCAGCTTTCATGAGAACCATCCACACTCCACGCTAGCTTTCTCACCCCCTTGACCCCTTGTGCTGGGAATGCTGATCAGAATGTGCCATATTGTTACGCAGTCCTTGTCCCATAGGACTTATCAGAGTCTCCCTCTTGCCCTGTAGGATCCGTCTGCTATCTCTCTGGTCAAGCAATTGGTTCATGGACCACGTCTATGGTAAAACTGGTATACTGTCAGCTAACTAGCTCCAGTCTCCTCCGCGTCTATCCTCTTTCTATCCCTAATACCAAGTCTAAGGCTTCCTATGCCCTACTCTCTTGTGTGCCAACCTACAAACGTTGTGGTTCAACAATGAACCAAATTAAAGCAAGCAGTACCACAACATTTGTAGGCTGGAACACAAGAGACTAGGGCATAGTAGTCATAGACTTGGTATTAGAGATAGAGACAGGATAGACGCGGCGGAGACTGGAACTAGTTGGCTGACAGTAGGTCGGTTTCACCATAGGCGTGGTCCATGAAGCAATGGCTTGACCAGGAATATAGAAGACGGATCTTACAGGGAAAGAGAGAGATTCTGATAAGTCCTATGGGAGAAGGACTACGTAACAATATGGCAGACTCTGATCAGCATTCCCAGCCCAAGGGGTCAAGGGGGTGAGAAAGCCAGCATGGAGTATGGAGGGTTCTCACGAAAGCTGCTCAATAAGGCTAAACGTAAAATTAGAGAAGCCATTGAAATAAACAGAATAGGAAATACTTTGAATGTAAGGAATACTGGTAAGAAGATAAGTAAAAACTATTTGTGCTTAATTGATAGATTAAAGGATGAGAGGGAGTTAGCCGCCATGCAGAAAAGAGGGCGCGACGCAACTAGTCTTTTCTTATTTTTTGGTTCTAATGATAGTCAATTTTCTGTCCTTTTTGGCTCACTGTTTCTCTCTCGCATTGAGACCAAAAACTAAAAATAGGCTCATCAACAAAACCAGACGTGTCCGACCTTGCGTAATTGGAGTGATGGTTATAAGTTAAATGTAGAAAGGGGGAGATGGGGGTCATCAAACCTTGATGGCAAAAACAGACGTTCCTTTTTGCTGTCCTAATTACGTTGAGCCATCACTTCGGGTTTCGTCCATAAGCGAACATTAACATGCACATACAAATACAGAGACAGACACACTCACATGCATATAAGTTGACATATGACCTTAACTAACCCAAATCACCTTATACTCGTCAAATAGGCCAGATTTAGAGTATGGATACCACTTTTTAGGGATTTGCCGGTGAGTTTTCTTTAATCATTAGCTTGAATTTTGTTGTGACGATGTTACCTCGCTCTGATGATGTCCGTCATACGATAGACGAAAGCTCAGCACCTTTTCACCGGAATCGAAGGAGATTACCTCGGAAACAGCATCAGCATGAATCTTTCAGTAAAGCCAATCGACAGCTGGTCAAGAGGAATTCGCCGTCGTCTTATGGTGGAACCGACCTTCGAATCTCTTCACCAAACACTTCTACTCGAAATGGAAGTAAGCCCAACAATTATTGAAACAAGAGATTTTTCGAAACCCAACTTTTCTTCATTAATGCTATAACAGAGAACGCAGACCAAGCTGGGAAAACGAGATAAAAGCAACATTACAACTTTTCTTCATATTTATTTGCACAGCTCACCATTACAGGTAAAATGTATACACTACATTACCAGATTTATCAATATCATCATTGACTCTATACTTAAGTTGATATATATATATGTATACATATATAAAGGTGACCTTTTTGAACTCAAACCCCTATTCTGACTATACGCTACCCTCTTTATATCCCTAATACCAAGTCTAAGACTTTCTATGCCCTACTCTCTTGTGTGCCAACCTACAAACGTTGTGGTTCAACAATGAAACAAATTAAAGCAAGCAGTACCACAACATTTGTAGGCTGGCACACAAGAGACTAGGGCATAGTAGTCATAGACTTGGTATTAGGGATAGAAACAGGATAGATACAGGATAGAGGCGGCGGAGCCTGGAACTAGTTGGCTGACAGTAGGTCGGTTTTACCATAGGCGTGGTCCATAAAGCAATGGCTTGACCAGGGAGATAGAAGACGGATCCTAAGGGAAAAGAAAGAGATTCTGATAAGTCCTATGGGAGAAGGACTGCGTAACAATATGGCAGACTCTGATCAGCATTCCCAGCACAAGTGGTCAAGGGGGTGAGAAAGCCAGCGTGGAGTGTGGAGGGTTCTCACGAAAGCTGCTCA